GTTCAGCGTTACAATGAATGACACACAGGGACTTGTAGGTCTTTACAGTGAATATATATAATTTTGATATGCTGTTAAATGTTAATACGAATAATTCATGTTTAATTTTATATTTTAAGAGTTTTTATTAGAGCAAATGAATAGGAATGAAAGACGATCTGTTTGGTTCTACGATTTTTACCCTAAGTGTACCAGAGCAGAGATAACCTATAGTATTCTGTAACCCCCCCCCCCCCAAAGATTTACAATGCTTGTAAAGTGCCCTTTTTTATCAGTGAGTTCCAGCTCTTTCAGTGTACTCTGTATATCATTGTTCTTAAGGTAAATTCACTAATTGATGTACAGCAGAGCGAGACTGATCATATTTTAATTTAAAAGTAGGAGATATAATGCATTTTTTTTTGGCGATAGGTATGTAATTATAAAACGCCAAAAAGACTAGTCATATACAATATATAAGAAAATCTTACGTAAATATGTAGTACAAAATAATAAAATAACTTGCAAAATAATAATAAAAAAACAGTAATTAAAAGGACGAAATTATAAAAATTTAATTTTGTTGTTGATTTAGGGTCATATACGTAAGGCAGAGACAAACGAGCGTACGTATTTATTTGTATTTTAGAAAATCGTTGAAAGTATATTTTGCAGTAAAATTTTAACATTTGTCCAGTTTATACACGACATGATCAGAGAGAGGTAAAACTTTCATAAATATCCTACAGGTTGATGGTTCCGAGTTCATGTTTTCATCTAAGCCTAAGACTAATCGCTTGCCAACAAACTTAAATGTTAAGTTTATACTATATTCAAAATATTTACATTTCGAAAACGGCATCCTTTTCGGCTGTTCTTCGCCACTCGTATAAAGAGTGGGTATTGCAGAGTATACAGGAAACACGATGTCGCACAATTCATGTTCTTTATTGGATTGAGAGTTGTATTTAAACGTTTAATATTTTTATTACTTCTATAAAACATTTTTTCACCGACTATATGAGGTATCTGCCGATGTGATGTGAACGGTACGTCAAGCACTTGATCAAAATATTGTACGCCCTCTAACGGCATACAAATTGTGCAGTCTCAATATTTAAATATCGTCATGCGGTGCAGTTATGATTAATTCAGTCGATGGGATTTCAAGATCTAACTCGTAAGACCTTTGAATATTTTATTATAATTAAAAGCAGGAACTTATATATATATATATTTCATTTTAATAAAAGCGTATTTCAAATAATTTTCCCAAATCGTAATAGCTCAATTAATATCTATTTTTTTATTTAGTTAAAACTGACATAAACTGTCAGCAGGTGGCAACTTAGGCCTCCGTTTAACACACTAAATAACCATATAATTGATTTCATTGTTTGAAAAATTTGTCAAACGAGAATATGAAGCACGTTTTTGTTAAATACTTATATTTTCTGGAATTTGTTAGAATTAAGTGGTTCACTTTATGAATAGTAAGATTAAAAAATAAATCTTTTACTTACTTTATAGTAACAGCCGTCCAAATGTTTTATGCTAACTAAATGTGGACGTGATATAAATAAGTGCCCTTACACTTTCAACAACAAAAAGCCAATTTTAATACGATATGGCGCAAACTGACAACAGTGTTGAATTTTAGCTTTATTAGATTACTGCAACAGTGGTCTTTATTACAGGCTAGTTAATCGCTATTAGACATTGACAACAAGTGACCGTTAAGCCTAGTCGAAAGACAGAATAAATAAGCTTGGAAGCCAAGTTATTTTTAGTTAGACAAGAGTTTCCTTGTATTTTGATTTCGTGGCAGGAGGTAGAAAATTCTAGAAATACCTAAATTCCTCGTATTTTTATGCCTTTTCGTTGTAGAAGGATCAAGAGTGATCATAATGTGATTTAATGTTGTTGTTTCATTGTTTGTTAAGCCTCGGCCTACGACACTTTTGGGCTGTATTGTTAAGAATGGTATTATGTGCATATATATAAAATAAATTAAAGTTATATTAGCTGATTAATTTAATGTATTCCACCATTTAATAATTTTGTATTACATTACTTTCTTTGTTAAAGTAGCGTTATGAGCCAACAGATCTACCGCTTAGTAATGCATCAAAAATGAAACTAACTATGATAACAAAAATATCAATTAAAAAGAAAACGACAAAAAAGGAAAAACGAGACTGAATTGAAGACAAATGATATCTGGACATTAGAATGCAATAGATAAATTTAATACAAAGTTAAGAAAGAATATACAGTTTCAAATGTGAAATACTACTTTTAAATAGATAAATTAATACACACACATTGTTTTCTATATAATTTAAAGTATAAAAGTAAAGATAGCCCATGAGTAACTTTGCGTGAAAAAACCGGGTTTCGATAACCACAGTAGGCACAGCACAGATAACACATTGTGTAGCTTTGTGCTTAATAACAAATATAAATCGTTGTTGATACTATTTTACAGCCCTGGTGGACATGTTCGTAATACTTGTTATTGCTGCACGTGCCTATATGTAACTTTTATTTTTTTGTTGGACTTTCATGTCCGGTTTCTACCAGGTTTCACTGCTCGTTGTTTTGGTGACGTTGTTGTTCTTTAAAAACGAGATATGAAATAATCATGACGCTGGTGTGAAGAGTGGGCTTATTTCACTTCTGGTATTTATACATTCTTATCTCTGATTTGTTTTAAAGTTAAATAAAAACCGTAACAATTATAAAATAACATTTGAAAAATAAATTAAATACAAGTGAAATATCATACAGGTAGGTTATATTATTTATTTGTTAAGCTTTCAGAATAACGTTTGATTTTTTTTTTTACTCGTTTGTTTGTTGTTAAACACAAAATCATACAGCGGACTATCCGTACTCTGCCCACCGCAAGTAACGAAACCTAATTTTTAATCATCATAAGACCTCAGGCTTACAGGAAAACAATTATATATTTGCTAAGCCTTGATTTTGAGGCATAGCGTTGAATTTTTTAAAGCTGTATTTTACTGGTATATGCGCTATAGTTTATTTCAAAGCTTCTGCGATAACAAGAGAAATTGTAATAAATATTAAACAGATATTTTAGAAGTGAATGTAATTCTGTTTAGAAACAATGACTGTTCGGTGAAATAATGAATAATCATACCTCTGAATATTTTATTATTCTATTTTTGATTTAACATACACCCACACACACACACATACATACATATTTATATTTATAGATACTAGTCAAACACAACATTGGCACTTGAATTAAAGAAACACCTAACTTATTACTCACTAATAATTGCCTAACCTAGGCAGTGAATGGGAATACTTCTAATACTCCTAACATCAGTTTGAAACAAGTTGTCATAGCAACTGTAACATGGAAACACCGTTTGTCACGATACATTTGACGCCACTTACTTTGGTAGAAACAAAAACCGTATTTTCAAACGTACAATATTACTTTAAGACTATAGAATCGCTACCTAGAAGTATCATTATTCCATTTCTTTGTTTTCAGGACAAAGGTTTTAATTTGGTTCACAGACCTCACCATTTCATGTTAAAATGACAGAAACTTGAGCCAGTAAGATACAAAACAATCATCTTGTAAAACCAAAGTTTCGTGTCAGCCCCTCCTGGATTCACCCTCCCAAAAATACCATCTAGGTTGTTAGAAAACTGTTTAATTTGTTGGGCAATATTTTGATCAAGTTTTGAACTTGGGATTTCAGTTTTAAATTGTTTGCCTGTAAAAGAAGTAGCGGATATTTTGAGACAGTGTGAGCCATCTCGGTAGGCAGATTGTATAATAGGGTGTAAGAAACTGAGGAAATATCAATTATTTTGTAATATGTTATAACTTTTGCTACATCTGTTGACCGTAAGATAACATTTATTGGCTTTTATACACTCGTTTCGACCTCTTTCAAATATAACCTCGTTCTAAATCGTGTAAAGAGAGCGTTTTGCCCTTCTGACTATTTCTGTCTTCACTCTGAAATTCTTAACATATTAAAGAGTAATGGCTATTCCCTTAAATTCTTACACTCTATCACACGGACATTTGAACAAATAATGAAACGGAACCTTTCAAGATGACATACACACTGTATCGAAATATCCGCTGGTTATATTACTTCTTTCATGATCACAAAAAAAAAGTTTTGAAACTCAAATCCTGAATTCAAAAAATAATCAAGACACAATACCCACAAATTAAGCTATGTTCAGTGTTTAGAATTCAAATACAGAACTGTTTTATTAAATGAAATATAATTATGCAAAGTACTGCAACGCCCTCTCGCGTAACAAGGAAAAATCACTTAGGATTAGTTGTCATGGTAACAAAAAAGAAAAAAAACAAACAAAGTTTTTGTTTACCATGGCAACATGAGTGTAATATTCAGTGCACTATCTGGTGACTAACACAACATATATCATTTCAAATAACAAGATAACTATAAAAGTCATCGAAAAAAACCTTGATATTCATATACATCTTTTAAAAAAAGTATCTTATTAATATGAATATTACTTATTTACGAACAGAATATAAGATTAATAAACAGAGTCCCAAATTACTGTCAACAATAATTAGTTAAGACTTTTAACAGATAATAACATTTTTTCCGTAATAATAATATGACATATCACCATGACAACACGACTTGTATGATCTGTTAAGTAAGTAAAAGCTATAATCATAGCCTTGTTACAAAATAATACAAGTTTTAATAGTAACTTACAAGTGTTTTATGTACTTATAAAAAAAACAACTACATCTGGTACTGAACGAACAGCCTGCTGGGCCGTCGTGACCCCTGACAGACAAAATCTGTAATTTTTACTCAACCAAAATGGACAAATTAAGAAGAACGTGAAAGATATATATATGTTGCGGTCTAAATTATTTTTAAAGCAAATAGTTAGCCTATTGGATTCTAATTTTTTTTCTTCTGAAATTGTTTCAACCATCAAAATAAATATTTAGCAGCTATTATTTTGTTTTACAAGCAACGACCAATAGAATGCATTGGCTGTTGTATTAGTCACAACGAAATGATAAATTTTTTTGTAATACTCTCGTTCCTTATACGCGTGTACTCTCGAAAACCACGTTGCAAATCTACCGACAAGATCATATGTAGACCACTAAACGTGTGATTTCATCGATGACGTCAAGCTTCTAATTTTTAGTTTCGAAGACATAAAAAAAAAGTTTTTCGTGATTAAATAAAATTACGGGTTAGAATCAATCACGTTTATTTTTTTATTTCATTTTTTTTATAAAATATATTGGCTAATTGTTATTGTTATGTTTTTGTGAAAACAAAAAATGTATAGAAATGGTCTTTAATCGCACTTTAGAATTATTCTAACATAATACTTAAGGCGGTCGATACAAAAATGTATTACACTATTAAAACAATTTCATTTTAATAATATCTCTACATCAAAATAGGGTTATAAGAATACACGCATGCGCAATGTATTCACCTAAAATATCTACTTTAATCACAGTTTCGTATAAGAAGTATTCTGAAAAGATGTTTTTATCGTGGTTGAAAGTTTAGAAACATTTATTTGTGCTTCGTATCGTGTTATATAATGCGATAGATTAATAATTACAAAATAAAAACATCATGACAGTTTACATCAGAATCGACAGTACGGAAATCTTCCTTTAGTGCTGCCATCTAATGACAACTTTTGGAACCTGCGAATAAAGTCATTTGATAGTTTCATTTTTATAAACAATTTGTAGCATTAATTACGGGTCATTTTTAAGAAATAAGTGGTGAAGTAAATACTTTAAAACACAGGAGACTTGACAAAAGGTGGCGTTCATATCAAAAAAGATGTTACGGTATACCAAAAAATGTTTTTAGAAATAAGATCACTTTTTATGAAGATAAACTGTTCTTGGATCTTTTAAAAATACTTTTCCAGACTTTCTGAAAATACTCAAACTATCATGGTGTAAAACACTGAGGTTTAATATGAATAAAACACGTATACCTGGACGAAAAGTTTTCCTTTGATCCCAAGTTCCGCGAATGTCGACATCACTGATGTGTCGATATAAAATGGGAAATAATATTATAGAAGTTACTCATTAACACTTTGTACGAAATAAAGAAAGAAAAAAGAATATGGAGTTTTAAAAGGTTTTGTTAAATTATATTGAGAAATTAATTTTATTCGTAAACTAAATAAAAAAAGTTGGTGTTCACCTTTATTTGAGGGGCTGTTACTTCAAGTGTGACGATATTTACTGATTAATATGAATTATTCTGGTCAGATTTGTCTCTAGTACGTATTGCTACAGAAAATTTTAAATATTTAAACACAGCTCACAGCTAACGGTTTACTGCAAGGACATTTTTCACAATATATTTTTTTTTTCACATTAACTACTGACTTAACTTGTGCTTTACAAATGTTCTGGCACTTCTGATGGAACTACCACCAGAATCTTCTGCAGAAAAAGTGTCGTGGCATCTGTTAGAAGAACAAAAAAAAAACGAGTAGTCAAATTTGTGAAACTTACCGCTGTCAATAATTATTGTTGCATTTAGGAAATAACTGTAATTAGTAAATATCTTTATATCTTTTATTATAAAAATATTAAAAAACGAAATTTCAAATTTAGTATTTTTAAAATAAATTTCAAATAAAACTGCCATGAAAGGAACACCAAATACACGAACATGGATGATTGAAATGCATAAACTTAAAAAGAAACTAATATAATAAATAAAAATAAAACAAAATTCACGAAATACAGTTAATTAGCGAGCAGTTTTTATCATAAATAAAATAAAATACGAAAGCAATGCCACAAAACTCCTCTAAACAAAATCGTCGCTCAGAAGTTCGGTCATATAAAAAACAAAAAACAACAACACTTATTTCCTTCTTTTTTCTCTTTTTTTGCTAATACACAAAGAGAAAGTACCGACACTCACCTATTGCCTTCAGGATAGGCTTAGGTTTGTTCTCCCAATAGACAAAGATAAAATATACCGGAACACCTGTCATAATGATCAAAAGTCCAAAGCCTGAAAGTAAAGAAAATTATTAGGCCTAACACTAAAAACTAAAAGTAAAGAAAATTATTAGGCCTAACACTAAAACCTGAAAGTAAAGAAAATTGTTAGGCCTAACACTAAAACCTGAAAGTAAAGAAAATTGTTAGGCCTAACATTAGTGACTGATGATGTTTCTTCCACATTTTTCTTAATTAATACATTACATAAGATATAATTACGTGCAAAGCATAAGTTGTTCAGAAACAAGCAACTTCAATATTGATATCTTTCATATCTTTAGAACAAAAACAAAACCATACACGGTGTATACAGAACTTTAAAAGATAAATTCCCTGACTTTCCCCGATTTTTTAAAAGTTTTCCCTGACACATTTCTGTTAGTGACTGCTGGTCGAAAAAAGACTCAGCAAAAAAAAAAAAGAAATCCCCGACTTTTCCTTATTTTCTCTAACTGTGTACACTGGGACATATCTGGAGTCTAGAATATCTTTTATATCGAATTACACATTTAACTGGAACGCTTAAATCTAAGCAAACGCAAAACAACCACGCCGTCATATTGGGAGACACCTAAAGCTTAATCTGGCCCTTGATGAACGGGGCTAAGGTTTTAATATAATAGATCTATTTTAAAAGGTACAGGGTTTTGATACCCACGGTGGTCAGAAGACGGATATTCCATTGGTTAACAACAAAACAAATAAACACTAATTTTTGTTTATTTAGTAACTAGATCTGTGTAACACTTTAATTAGAGGTAAATGTAGATATTTAACTGACAGAAAACATTTCGAAATAATTAAAATAAATGTGATTCAGATAACAACGTATCCACCATTATCAATAGGTATGAACTTATTTTTCGGAGTGTAAAATAATTTTGATCTAATAATTCTTCCTCCCACTTTTGGGTGTTTCTAGCAGTGTGAAACGGTGCTCCATCTTCCTGGAACAACGTTGTGTTCTTGT